AGGAGTGTAGAGGGGAGTATTGGTGTATTGGGATGATGCTCTAACCAACTGAGCTACCTGGCCAAGGCTAGCCTGTCATTTCTTTTTTATATATTTTATTGATTTTTTTACAGAGAGGAAGGGAGAGGGATAGAGAGTTAGAAACATCGATCAGCTGCCTCCTGCATACCCCCGACTGGGGATGTGCCCGCAACCAAAGTACATGCCCTTGGCCGGAATCAAACCCGGGACTCTTCAGTCCGCAGGCCGGCGCTCTATCCACTGAGCCAAACTGGTTAGGGTGTCGGTCATTTCTTTTTGTTTACAAACATGGGTAAAGATAGTTTTGGGTTTTTTCTTTTTAACAAAAAAGGCACTTTATACATGCAGTTTTGTTACCTGCTTTCGAAAGATTTATAATAAACTTAGCATCTTTCCTAATCACCATCATTTTTAATGTCTTTAAAATGAATATGGCATAATTTATTTCTTTTTTTAAATATATTTTTATTGACTTCAGAGAGGAAGGGAGAGGGAAAGACAGATGGAAACATTAATGATGAGAGAGAATCATTGATTGGCTGCCTCCTGCATGCCCCCTACTGGGGATGTAGCCTGCAACCCATGCATGTGCCCTTGACTGGAATTGAACCCAGGGCCCTTCAATCCACAGGTTAAAGCTCTATCCACTGAGCAAAACTGGCTAGGGCTAGCATAATTTATTTAGTCACTTCTCTGTGTTGCACATTTGGATTCCTTTCAGATTTCAACCATAATGAGGAATGCTGTAGGGAGCATCTTTACAGACATGATCTGCTCCATATTTGGGTTATTTAAAACTAACTTCCAATAGGAATACATGTATGGGAGGAGGATGTCTATATTTCTACCGCATTTTATTTTCTCATCATTACTTTTGGTTGTCATGGAGTGTTTTCTCCTAAATCCCGTGGTGGTGTAGCAATTTGTCCTCCTTCATAGCATTTTACCACATTGAATTTCCATTCCAAACGTACTGAATTCCAAGAATTGGCACCACCACTTAGTGAAATTTGAGTGGAATTATGAAAATTTTAAAATTACAGGTCTTTAAATTATAACAGTGAATCACCCAAACCACTTGCTGCAGTTCTGATGCAGCCAGCCAGCCATGCTTCATGTAATACTGAGGAAGGAAGGTGGGCTTTCTGTTTACCAGCCAACGTTTGCCACTTCCATGGCCCTAATTGGAACACAGCTTACAGTTCACTTGGCAGATGGCTATGAAATTAAGAGATTCTTGATGAATGGTTTTAACTTGGAGAAGTTATATTATTTCAAAATTTGTCCATAAATTTGGACCTTATTAATACTTTTGCATTAGTTTTTCTAATTTTCCATAATTCAGAAGCATTTTATACATATAATTTTGTAGCCTATTTACCCTGTATTTTCTTAGTGTAATATTAGGTGAAAGATCATTTTTTTCAGAGCCTACGTTTGGACTCCTAGCCCAGCACTCCCCTCCCTAGCCTGTTTTAATTGACAAGTGTCCTGTGGGTATGGTAACCAACAGGAGAGAAGCTGGGCTGTGGTTGGTTGGGCACTCTGGCAGAGAGGGGATGCTTTCTTTGCCTAGCCTCCCAGAATTTATGTTCCTTTTTCTGTGTTGTTGTTGTTTTTAAATATATTTTTATTGATTTCAGAGAGGAAAGGAGAAGGAAAGAGAGATAGAAGCTTCAATGATGAGAGAGAATCATTGATCGGCTGCCTCCTACACGCCCCCACACTAGGGATCCAGCCTGTAACCCTGGCATGTGCCCTGCCTGGGAATGGAACTGTGACCTCCTGGTTCAGAGGTTCAACCACCTAGCCACACCAGCCTGGCTGTTGTTGTTTTCTTTATTGCTCCAGTCAACAAAAGGGAAACTTTATTGAGGTCCCAGGGCCACTGGGTTCAGGCAGAAGGCAGTCAGTCCTGTGAGCTGGAGGAAGTGGTGGAGAGGCCTTATTTATTAACCTTCTGGGGGGACAGGTTGTTGGTGTGGCCTCACTTCTTTCGGGACTTGACAGCTTGGGGGTGCAGGCAGGTGTGACACTTGTGACATCATCTTCTGGGAGAGCTGGAGGAGGAAGGGCTCGATGATGCCACCCTGTAGACAAAGCACCAAGTGTAGGGTATACTCTCTGAATGTTGTAGTCTGAAAGAGTGCAGCCATCCTCCAGTTGTTTGCCCACAAAAATCAGGCGCTGTTGGGCAGGCGGGATGCCCTCCTTGTCTTGGACTTTGCTTTTGATATTCTCAATGGGCTCAACCTCGAGGGTGATGGTCTTCCCAGTCAGAGTCTTCACAAAGATCTGCATCTCTGCATCTGCTGGGGAGGCGGCTCACCACCTCATTGAAGAATGTTCTCTGTTTCTTATAGGCTCGTCTCTATAGCCTGCAGTCAGACCCGGCAACCTACTGCAATGAACCAGATGGTGAGGGGGTAGCGGTGGGGGGGTGGGCTTGCAGGGCAGGGAGACCAAGGGCTAAGCATCCCCTGTGTAGAGGGACCAGAGTGGGGCGAGTGTGTACCTTAGATCTGGTGGGATGGGTTGATGGTCCCTCTTCCTCCCTGCACCCAGGCTCTCTTCATCCCTGTTTGCAAAGGCTTTGATCCTTTCCCTCATCCTCAGCTCAGGCTCCCTCCCAGTCCTGTTGCCTGCCTGTTTGCTAAACCCCTGTGGTACAGCAAGCCCCAGGCTGGGAACTGGAGGTCAGAAATGAGTCAAGCCCTCAACCTGGTCTAGACTTTCAGGAACCTGCTGTTAGGAGAGGGAAACGAGAAATAGTGAATAAAGCACAGGTAGTAGATCTGGAGTGACTGCTTCTATAGAACGATGGGGGCAGTGGGAACCCAGAGGGATGGCACCCAACCTAGCCTGGGAAACTAGGATGTGACACTTGAATTGATGTTTTAAGGATGAATTAGCAGTAAGTTAATTTTATCTTTAAGTGGGGCGAGGGGTGTTTAAGCAGAAGGTCCAGAAAGAACAGGGAGTAGCTGGCATTGGGGAAGGTTGGAGTAAAGGGTGCGTGTGAGGGAATGAAAGCGTTGAGATGCGGTGGAAGCCAGATTGAAATGCTTTCGGTGTCAGACTAAGCAGTTGAATTTTGTCCTAAAATGCTCAAGGTAGTGCTGCTTAACATTTTTTTTTTTAAAGTCAAAAGGGCCCTTAAAAATCTGTTGGAAATGACAGGCCCTCTCTTCACAAAATTTTATATGCAAAATGGGAATTCTTTGACCCTTTGAAGCCCATCTTTGGACCGTAGCTTTAAAAGCCTTCCTGTAGAGAACTATTGAAGGGTTTTGAGGCCTGAGGTGATCCGATTTTACATTATATAAAAGAGCTCGGACAGTGTTGTGACGGATGAAATAGAGGGAGAGATAGAAGACAGGAAGACATTTAGGAGGCTTGGTAGCAGTCCTCACATCAGAGATAGGGCCAGGACCTAGGAGGTGGCAGGAGGAATGAAGAGGAAAGTACATGTCTAGAAGCGTCCTCGGTTTCCATTGGATCACTAGGTGGGTCAGGTTGGGCAGGAAAGAAAATGAGTTGGGTTTGCAGCACCTGTGCAAGTAGACGTGTCCAGGGGATACTTGGACCCCTGGATCTGCAGGATTTTCAAGAGGGAAGCAGTGGCTCCGAGTCATAAACTGGATTGGTCACATGAGGGAGGACAGAGAAGTAGCCATTGGATCTGGCAACGTGAGTCACTGGTAACCTGAGAACAGCTCTTTGAGAGAGGAGATCCAGTGGCCAAGTGCAGTGGGCTACACAGTGAGTAGGCATGGGAGAGATGGAGTCTGCAGCCCTCCTGGAGGTCATGTGGGTGCTGCCCCTGATATCACCCACCCCTTCACCCTACCTTACTCCCCACCTTGGGCCAAATGGCTTTGAAAAAACCTTATCCATGTCCAGGCTTAGGTGTGTTTTCTGTAGGCCCAGTGTTCTTTCCCCAGACCCAGGGAACTGACCATCAGTGTCTGTCCCTCCACAGGGCCCCCGGAATTGTTTGACGCCTGGCTTTCCCAGTTCTGCTTGGAGGAGAAGAAGGGGGAGATCTCAGAGCTCCTTGTAGGCAGCCCCTCCATCCGGGCCCTCTACACCAAGATGGTGAGGGCCCAGCTGGCAGGACCTCAGCCAGCTCCCAGCTTGAGGTGTCGGGAGGTGGGAGAGACATATCCTGAGTCATTTCAGAGTCATCTGGCTTAGAGAGCAGTGGGAGATCCTACAGAGCCAAACCAGCCAGTTCCTGAGCCGAGAATATGCACAGGGGGATTGATATGCCAGGTTTCTGGCCATCATGGTGAGAAATGGAAGGACTGGCAAAGCCTGGTGGAATTCCTTTTCTCACTCCTGGACCAGCCTAGGCCAGGAAGGTAGCAGGAGTGGGGTGTGGGTTGGAAACACTCTGATAGTCACTGCTCAGCCTCTCACTGTATTTGAAAGCCAGAGTGGCCAGTAGCTGGCTGGTAAGGCTGGGATGCAGACCCCACACAACCACTCCAGAAGTTTCATCTTTGCTGTCCCCTCCCCCCAGGTGCCAGCAGCTGTTTCCCACTCAGAATTCTGGCATCGGTATTTTTATAAAGTTCATCAGCTGGAGCAGGTATGCTGGCCTAGCCTGGCTAGGTGCTCCACTTAGCCATGGGGGAAGTGGGCTGGATCTTGTTGAGGGAAGAAGGGGACACAGGGTGCCAAGAGTTCTGGGGTCAGGACCAGATCTAGGAAGAGGGTGTTCTGACTGTTCCTCGACATCTGCTCCCCCACATTCAGGAGCAGGCCCGGAGGGATGCCCTGAAGCAGCGGGCAGAACAAAGCATCTCTGAGGAGCCCAGATGGGAGGAGGAAGAAGGTAAGAAGTATTGGGCAGGTAACAGGTCCTGCCTGTGGGGGACTGCCTGGCCATTCTCTCTGAAGCCTGGAGAGACGTGGCACCCAGGGAAGAGCACTGAGTGTGCGCGCGCTAAGGATAGGTTGAGCTGATGAGATGTTTCCCAAGGCTGGTGGGATCCTAGGTACAGAAAGCACCTGATCTGCTGTGTCAGCTGCAGCAGATTACCCTGCCAGCCATGGCCCAGCTACTGCAGAGTCACCTGGGATGCTTATGGAAATCCCAGGGCCCCTTATCCCCTCTTGTCAGATTCTGTGGCCAAACTTACGGGGTTTTTTGTTTTTTGGGGGTTTTTGTTACTGTTTTAAAATTTATTTTTAGAGAGAGGAAGAGAGAGAGAGAAAAACATCCATGTCAGAAAGAAACATCAATCAACTGCCTCTTGTACATGCCTCGACGGGATTGAACCCGCAAGCTGGGTTTGTGCCCAGCTGGGCAATCGAACCCATGACTTTTCGGTATACTGGATGGGACGACGCTCCAACCAACTGAGTCACACAGGTCAGGGCCAAACGTGTATTTAACAAGCTCCCCTAGCAATATTAATGCCCCGCCAGACTTGGGAACCGCTGGCTTAGGGAGGGAGCTGAGCATCCTCTATGGCAGCTCAGCTTTTGACAGTGTGAGAGCCACCTGCATGATGTAATATTAACACATTTATATATTAAGTGCTTATATTACATACCCAACCTGTGCTAAGAGCTTTATATATATGGTCATTACCACAACTCATTATCCTCTGTTATAAATGAGGCAAGTAAGTTAAAGAAAAGTTAAAAACAAACACTAAGTGCTTTGCCTGAAATCATACACCCAGGATGTAGTAGAGCCTGGTGGAGAAGGGGAGGAAACTGGCACCCTTTCATCTTGTTCAGCGTAAACTTTGAGAGAAACCGAGGCCTGTCTTCAGGAGCTTCAAGGTTGTCTTGGGGCTGACCAGGGTGCGTTGCCCGCTTTCCCTGCTTTTCTCTCTTGACAGAGGAGCTTGTGGGCATTTCACCCACACCTCCAGAAGAGGCAAAGGTTCCTGTGGCCCAAACGTGCACATCCCTTGAAGGAGGACCTGGCCCCCAGAGTCCCGGTGAAGAGAATCTGGTGACTCCAGTCGAGCCTCCAACAGAAGTCACTCCGTCCGAGAGCAGCGAGAGCATCTCCCTCGTGACCCAGGTTGCCAAATCTGCCACCACACCTGAGGCACCAGGACTGCCCAAGGACCTGTCCCAAAAGCTTCTAGAGGCCTCTTTGGAGGAACAGAACCTGGCTGTGGATGTGGGCGAGACTGGACCCCCACCCCCAGCTCAGTCTAAGCCCCACGCCTCTGCCGGTCGCCCCAGTGGCCCAGAGCCCAGGCCTCCAGCCAGAGTAGAGACCCTCAGGGAGGAGGTGCTCACAGACTTGCGGGTGTTTGAGCTGAACTCGGACAGTGGGAAGTCTACACCTTCCAACAACGGGAAGAAAGGTAAGTCAAGGCCAGAGCCCAGGGAGCGTGTGGGGCAGGGCAGCTGAGAGCCGAGACCTCACAAGGCAGACTGATCTCCTTGACCCTTGCGAGGATCCTAGGAGCAGCTGTCCTTTATTTGTGATACAGTGTGATGACTGTTACTGTATGTTATTTATTACCTTGGTCCAATTCTAAACTACACTGATTAAAGTGCATCTTACAAAATAAGGCTTATGGCAGGTCCTGTGCTAACGTTTGTAGCATTGCTTTTAATTTCTCACATCTTACAACCCAGTGAGGTCAGGGCTACTGTCCTCATTTTACAGATGGAGAAAGTGAGGCTCAGAAATACTAAGTAACTTGCTCAAGTCACATGGCCACAGTGGCCAACCCAGGTTCAGACTTAAGGCTGTCTGACTTGAAGGCCACGCCCTTAACCTCCTACCACACTGTACCCATTTCTATCCTTTTGGACAATTTAACCTTATCTTGAGGTGGGTATTCCGGTGACACTGATTGATGTCAAGGGTCTTCTCTCCTGGGTGACCTTAGGAAAGTCATTTAGCTTCCCTAAGCCTTCATTAATTATAATTATAAAATACATAAACAAAACTTACATGTACAGTTTTGTGGGTTTTTTTTGTTAATCTTCACTCAAGATTATTTTCCATTGATTTTTAGAGAGAGTGGAAGGGAAAGACACAGAGAGAGAAACATGGATTGGTTGCCTCCCAGGTCAAGCCTGCAACCAAGGTATGTGCCCATGAACAGAATCAAACCCGGGACCCTTCAGTCTGCAGGCCAATGCTCTATCCACTGAGCCAAACCCGTAGGGCTACAGTTTAAAGAATAAAGTTAATACTCATGAACTTTCTGTGAGCCAACTTAAGTAATAAGCTTTAGTTTCTAATCTGTATAATGGAATTTTAGTCTGGGGACTCTTTGACTTGATGTCACAGGGGGAACCTCTCTAACTCCTAGAATTGACAATCATAGCTTTGTTGTCAATTTCTTTGCCACATTCAAAAATACCTCTCTAGAGGTAGCCCTTCCCTCAACTCCTCACACACACATGCATCCTGTCTTTCCAGCACTCAGGATCAGTCAGCCACACGGCTTGCCCATCTGGTGAGTGCTGGCCTGCTGGCACATGAGGGACCGGTTTGCTGCAGTGGGTGGGAAACAGACCCCACTACAACCTCCCCTGCTCCCTCATGGAAACTGCAGGGTTTCTAGTTTCCAAACAGTGCTTTCCTTCTGACTGGCTCAGTGAGGTCATCCATTGAGCTCCTACCTATTCTTTGTGAGACACTGAGGAGGGAGGGGCAGAAGCTGCAGTCTTTATGATGACACATGACGCAGTGTGGGACAGACTTGGTATTGGAGAAGGTCAAGGAAAGAAGGAATTCTCGGCGTCAGCGAGTCTTTCACCGAGGAGACAAGCGTTGTATAGGAGAGTTGGAGAGTTTGGGGCAGGTGCGGGGAAGTAGTCCGGGCTCAGTGTGCCTACAAAATCCATATAGCAGCGGGCATGGGGCACATTGAAGGGGTGGTGACCAAAGCCCACTTTTCTGTAATGTCTCCTATGAGAGGGTAGAACAAGAAGGGTGAATGGATTGGCTCAGAAATAGAACTTAAGAACTTAAGCTGAATTTAGAAGGTTGGACTTAGTGCCACAAAGCAGCGGGGCATGCTGCTTATATTTTATGCCCAACCTGTACTAAGAGCCTCACATGGGGAGGCTCTGGGTTCAAATCCCAACTTTGCTCATAAGCCAAGTGATTCAGAAAAGTTACTGATCTCTAAGCCTCCGTTTACGCCTCTATCAACTGGGGGTAATTGTTCCAGGTGCTTAATCAAGGAAGAAATTTGAGTAGAGCCCTGCTTTGGAGAAATGATGATAATAAGAGGTACTGGTCTCTGAACACTTTCTGTAAATTCAAATAGCTCTGTGCTAAGCACTATATGTATAATCACTCAGTCTTCACAAAAGCCCTGTGAGTTCTGTGCAGTATTCCCCATATTTTATTAGTAGGAAACAGGTCAGTCACCTACCCAATAAGTATTTAGAAAAGTATGAAATAGTCATTTAGGAGAGTGGATGAGTAGGTGATGGACCAACAGGTAGTGTGTGGTTGCTGGGTGGATGGTACTAAGGGCCCATTGGAGATCATGGTCGTTAACTTGGAGACACCGGTCAGCACTATTGCACTTTTGTCCAGCCACATTCAGTTGCTCAGGTGCAGGCACAGAGCAGATGGGGTGTTGGATTTAACCAGGGTTCAAGTTTAGCCAGGTGAAATCAGTGGAAGAAAAGGAGAGAGTCAAGTACATGCAAGAAGTGATTAGAATGATGGCTCCTGGAATCCTAGCTGGACAAGGGAGGGAATAGCGGTGAAACAGTTGTAGGGTTAAAGAATTATAGGTTCCATTTGGAATCCCATCAGAGAACATGATCAGAAAAAATGAGTGGTGGGTGAAAGAGACTGGACAAAAGGAGATTTGGGGAAAGATGCAGCAAAAGCTCTTGACCACTCTGTTTTACTGTCTGCGGTGCACGCGGGGTTTCGATGCAGAAGACCCACCAGAAGTAGTTGTAGTCAGTGAGGGGAAGCCAGGGTCTTAGATGAGGTTAGGGCAGTGGGAACAGAGTAGAAGGAGTAAATCTTAAAAGGAAGATGGAGATTTAGAGACAGAGTGACTCCTTTCCCACTTGTATTACTTCCTGAAATGACACGAGGGAGGCTTGGTCTCAGGGTGCAGCAGTCTTTCCTGGGGTCTCACCACAGGGTCTCCTAGGTCCCAGTGCAATTCCCATCTTTGCAGATTTGCTTCCTACCTGAGGTTAGTAATCAAAAAAACAGAAAAACTCCATCATGAAGTCTAAAATGATTGTCGCATAAATGAGTCTTCTGCCAAGTGCACAGTGTAATGGAGATCTTACTACTCTCCTTGTGTGACGGAACCGGATGGTGGGACAAGGCAGATGGCAGAGCCCTGGGTCACACCTCTGCCACTCAAAGCCTTCATTTTCTCATCTGTCAACCAGGATGGAAATACCTACTTTAGAGGGTGGATGGGAAGTGCTCCAAAAAGTTTAGCTGATACTCTGTTTTCTAAAGGGTCTGCCCTAGCATTTAAGCCTGAAGAAGAGAGTTTCAAATCCCTAAAGGACAACTGAGGCTAGAGAAAGCTGTCATGGCCACAGCCACAGCCACAGCTCTGAAGTGACGAACCAGCCAGGAGTCTGGCTTCTACCTCACAGGGAGCTGCACTGTCAGGTGGCCAGGGGGGTCCCACCAAAGTGTTCTGAAAGCACAGGGACACTTAGATGTGGATCAGAAGAACTGGGTCTTGGTGGCACATCTGCCCCTGACTAGCTGTGGGTCCGTGTGCAACATGACTTAACTTTGAGAAGAGGCCTTTAAGGGCTCCGTTTGTTAAATATCCACTATGTACTTAAGGTACGGGCACTTTCCACTGCTATTTATAATATTAACACTATCTTGTATCAAACTGAAAGGCTCTGGTCTACACAGAATCCTCCAGGTTCCTGCAGAATTCTGGGCCATCCCCTAGATTGCTGAGTCTGAATGAGGGGGTTGGGGAGCAGGAGTCTGCATTCTCATAAGCTCCTCCAGTGGTTCTTTGCAAAGAGAGTGGTTTTATCTTTATTTATAAGTAGACTGGAGCTCAGAGTAACTTGCTCAAGACTACAGTAAATGAGAGAGTCGGGATTCCACCCAGATTGGCTTGGTTCCATAGACCATGCTCTTACCCCACTGCTTATAGTTAGCTAGGTGGCTAGGAAGAGAGCACAGTGTAAGACCCCTTATAAGGAATGTGGGGGCTGAGACCCTAGGCACCTGGTGAGGAGCAAGTTAGACAAGAAATAAGGAGATATTACGAGTCATGCTGTTGGTATCAGGGGCCCACATTTTTTAAAGTTGCTTTAAAAAAAAAGATTACAAAGTAATATATGTTTCTTTTAGGAAAAAAACCACACCAAGAAAAATTACCCCATGACCTCATCACCTAGGGATAACTATTGTTAGTATTTTTGTGGATATCTTGCTGATCTTTTCTGCATGTGTGCATACGTCTGTGAGCATATTTCTAAAATGGAATCTTACCGCATATATTTTTTTTACAGGAACTGTATTTGTAGCTTTCTTCTTAGTAATAACTTTCAATGTACATTTTTAAAATATTTACTTGCAAGAAACCATAACCAAATAGGAATTTTTTAAAATTTATTGATTTTTTACAGAGAGGAAAGGAGTGGGAGAGTTAGAAACATCGATGAGAGAGAAGCATCCATCAGCTGCCTCCTGCACACCCCCTACTGGGGATGTGCCCGCAACCAAGGTACATGCCCTTGACCGGAATCGAACCTGGGACCCTTCAGTCCCCAGGCCGACACTCAATCCAGTGAGCCAAACCAGCCAAGACCCAAATAGGAATTTTTAGAGCAGTGGTTGTCAAACTTTAGCAGGAATCAGAATCGCCTAGAACAGGGTTGGATAAACTTGTTCTATATAGAAAAACGTATAGGTCCAGATCACAAATAAATTAGACTTTGGGGGCATAGAGTCTGTCTCAACTACTCAGCTGTGCTGTTGTAGCCTCAAGCAGCCATAGGCAATGTGTGTATGACATTTTATTTCCAAAAAACAGAGGGTAGATTTGGTCCATGGGCCATGGTTTACCAACCCCTGGTTTAGAGAAAGGGCCCATGAATATTTTATTGGTACAAGCTATGTGTTCTAGTCACTTGGCGTATGTGGGGGAAATAAAACCAATACCCTGCCTGCTCTTGCGGAGCTCTCATTTTAACTCCTCTATTATTAGACAATAAGCATATTAAATCTGATGATATATGCAAGAAAGTGACAAAACAATGGAAAAAAGAACAACTAGAAGAGTGAGGGGAATAGGTTCCAATTTAAAAGGATGTTAGAAAATAAAATAAAAGGATGGTTAGGGCCAAAACCGGTTTGGCTCAGTGGATAGAGCGTCGGCCTGCGGACTCAAGGGTCCCAGGTTCGATTCCGGTCAAGGGCATGTACCTTGGTTGTGGGCACATCCCCAGTAGGAGGTGTGCAGGAGGCAGCTGATCAATGTATCTCTCTCATCAATGTTTCTAACTCTCTATCTCTCTCGCTTCCTCTCTGTAAAAAATCAATAAAATATATTTTTAAAAAAAGGATGGTTAGGGTAGGCCATACTTAGACAGTGAGCTTTGAGTAAAGGTGTACAGGAAGTTAGGAAGTTGGCTTGTGGATATAGGAGAATTCCAGGTGCAGGGCACAGCCGTTGCCTTACTCAAAGACTCTAAGACAGAGGTTCTCAACCTGTGGGTCGCGACCCCTTTGGGGAGTGAACGACCCTTTCACAGGGGTCGCTTAAGACCATCAGAAAACACATATATAATTACATATTTTTTGTGATTAATCACTGTGCTTTAATTATGTTCAATTTGTCACAATGAAATTGGGGGTCACCACAACATGAGGAACTGTATTAAAGGGTCGCGGCATTAGGAAGGTTGAGAACCGCTGGTGTAGCAAGATCAGGGTAGGCAGAATGGAGGGAGTAAAGAGGAAGAGGTTCATTGTTTATTTCTTCCGGAAGATTTTTGTGGCTCCCAGGGAATCTTGGAACCAAAGTGCTTCTCTACTATTCAGTAACTTGCTTTTCCTCACTTAATAGTATAGTTTAATACTATTTGTCATGTACATGTTCTGCAGCCTCACCTTTTAAAGCCACATAATGTTCCATCACATCACTACACCATTTATTTATGTTTTTAATTCTCTTATCAGTGGATTTTCGGGTGATTTTTAAAGTTTTCATCACTATAGCAGCACTACAGTGAACATTCTTTTGACCACATTGTTTACTGAATGTAGGATTTTTCCTTAGATTCCTAAAAGTAGGAAGTGAACTAGAACAGCAGCAGAAGGCGAAGACCTTTGTTGTGTATTTGTCAGGTCCTTTTAAAGAGTGCCATTATCTCCAGTTTTGACCTCTTCACATACCCCTCTCTGACTTCGAAACTGTGGATTTTGGTTCTAGGCTCAAGCACAGACATCAGCGAGGACTGGGAGAAGGACTTTGACTTGGACATGACTGAAGAAGAAGTGCAGATGGCACTCTCCAAAGTGGATGCCTCGGGTGAGGTGAGTGGACCTGGTTGGCCACAGGGAAGCAAGCCCAGCGGTCTCAGGGTCTGAGGCCTCTCCCCATCAAGCCCAACTGTTCCCTCAGGGTGGACCCTGTGCCTATCCGAGGTGGCAGCCTGCAGAAAGAGAGCGGGGACCTCCCACTCAGGCCTGAGCAGTTGTCGTTGGTAGCCTGTGCTTCCCCTCAGTTCCAGGAGGGAAGAAAGGGAGAGTTCCTGACATTAGCTCTGTGTCAGAATCACCAAGGAACTATTAAAAAATACAGTTGCCAAACCCTGCCCCAGACCTCCTGACTCATGGTCCCCCAGGCTGGGACCTGAGCAGATTTCTAGCCTTGGAGACAAAAGACAGTGTGATCTAGGGCTAATCACTTAGCCTAAAACATGGAATTGATCATTATAAGCTTATAAGCTGTGATAGACAATGATCGACACATTAAGCATGGTGCCTGGGACTTGGGAGCACTAGTATATGTTACCAAAGCCACCACAAGACCCAGTCCAGTTATGAGCTCATTCTTCGCTACCTCTCAAAATTAAAAAATCATTTTGAATGAGAGGCTAGAAAAAAACTCTCACAGCTAGTACACAACAGGACTGAGGCTCCAGCCCAGACATCGGATTCAAGTCCGTGTTACTTCCACTGTCCACCATGTAACTCCTGCGCCTGCTAAAGAGGCAAACAGATTAGAGGCCCGGGAAGGGCCCTGATTCTCATGTTGGAAAACTGAAGCCTGAGAGGAGGCAGTGACCCATGCGAGAGCATTTTGTACCTGTGACTTCATGATACCCAAGCAGAGAGGCCCTGGTGTCCTGTCATGGCTTTTGTATCTTTGCAGCCTTCTTTTAAAGCCTGACATCCAGGCCTCCTAGCAGAGTTATTCTGGAACTCGTCATAGCAGGGATCAGCAGGGCAAGAGAGAGTTGCCTGGGAAGACTTTAGCTGAGGACTCGGGTGCCGGAGCCCCTAGTGAAGACCCTGTAAGCACCTGTAGTCCAGGGCCACGCTTGCTTCTAATTTTAGCGCCACTCTCAAGCTCTCTGCCTCTGAGCCATCTTCTTAGCTGCTCAGGAGGAGACAAGTTTTTGTAAGGAATTGCTGACTTCGTTCCTGTGGGCAGGTGCCCCCTTGTAGAGACAAGTGTTGGTTGGTGGGAACATTTCCTGTGGGTCTGGAATGATCAGAGCAGCAGACGCACCCCTTAGGCAGAGGGCAGCTCTGCTCCCAGACACATTCCTGAAGACCGTGGTTCACCCTCGTGGGCAGGTATGGCCCAGGGCAGGCGGGGGCTTGCGGGGAGCTATCTGGAAATGGAGGCAGCAGGGGAGCTTTGGGTCTGGGTTTGAGGAATAAATTGGTATTTGTGCTCTCCATTGTCCTCTCCCATTTGCAGCTGGAAGACGTAGAGTGGGAGGACTGGGAATGAGGGGAGCCAGAGCAAGCAGCTCCCCTCCCACAGCACCTCCCATTTCCCTCATCGTCTCAGCCCAGCCCTGGAAGGCACTGACCAAGAATGTCCCCCAAGTGGCCTCTCAGCCAGAGCTCTCGGCACAGATCCTGAGTTGCTTCTCGCTGGCCCTGTGGGCCTCTGCTCACATCTGGGAAGGGGCTCACAAACCAAGAATCTGACTTGTGCCAACCATAGGATGACCTAAGGGGGAGGAAACCTGCCCCCTCACCGGAAGAGCCTACATTTCTATGCTGAATACCCTGTTCCTGGGGACTCTTGCTGGGAAGTACCCAGGGATAGCTCCATCCCTTCTGCCTGTGTGGACAGAAGCTGAACCACCAGTCTCTTGGAAGAAGCCAAGTCAACACACTGTCCACCCGTAAGCAGGCAAGGAAAGACATGCCACCTGCCATTGGCTAGATAGGGATGGCAAACAGTTTGGTTCTTATTCCGGTGGGTAAGAGACGTTTGATTCTGGGGAATTAGCCTCTCTTGGGAATCCTCTTCCCAGGCATTTCCATTCCAGAAAGGTTCCTTGTGGTTCAGAATCTAGAGACCAAACCCTGAGTTCCCATCTCCTCTCATCCAGCCCAGTGGGACGTCCCCAACACCTTTCCCAGGGCTTCCTCATGTCAGATGCACCCAAGTCCTTAGCCCAGCTGTGCCACCTGCAAGACTCTGCTCTTGCTTTTCTCCCCTCCCCGCGAAGGGAGGGGCCACTTCAGGCCCTTCTGTGCGATGCCTGGCGGGGTACTTTGTCCAGCCAGCTCCCCACCTCAGTTCACCTGGATCTTAGGACATGAGCAGCTCGCAGTGGTACAGAGCAGCGGTCAAAGCTGAGTACTTACAGCTCGGGTAGCCCATTTCTCTGCCTCAGCCCTTCTGTCTCTAGAAGGGAGCGCTTCTGAGAAGGCTTCTGAGAAAGCTCTTCTTGAAGGCAGGCCTGTCTTTGTCTCTCACCCTCCACTCTGCTAAAGCCGCACCTCTCTTGGGGGAATGCAGGGCTGCAGGAATCCCTGGAGGCCCTGGTGCTTAGTGCTGCTCTAGTATTCTAGTACATAGTCTGGTGTTCACCAATGATTTCCTGGGAGCGTGGCTGGGAGCCCAAGGAGTGGGGGTGGGGCGGAGAGAATGCGGAATCTGTTTGATGGGATGGGGTTTTTCTCTTTGTAATTATTTCTTTAGTTTAATTAATCTTTTGGTTGTTTGTGCAATATTATATATTTTAAATTATAATGCATCTCCCCAGAGTATTTTGTAGCTGGGAAAAGAAAAAAAGGAGAAAAAAAAAAAGATTCTAACAGCTGTTAGTTTTGTAATTAAAAAAGAAAGAAAAAAGAACTTTGTCCTGAACCTTTTCCAGACTTGTCGTTAACAGCATTAAAGAGATTCAACAGAAGCTGGAAGATGTCTGGGGGTCTGTTCTTCTCCCCCATGGCAGCTGGGGCAGGACATTCACGATGTGCAGAGTGGCTTCCTGCTTAGAACCTTGGGGGGGTGTGCGGGGGGAGGTAGCCTGGGTTCTGAGGAAGTCCTGTCCTCATCTCAGACTCAACTTGGCCTTCGGAATGAGGAAGGGGCAGGACTCCCAACAGGCTTCTCACCAAGACTAGAAGTTAGAGGCCAATTCTGCATTCCCAGTGCTGCTTTTATTTGGAAAGGAAGTAGCGACAACAGTGGCTCTGACTGCTCTTGGTCATTGTTCTCTCCTCCTCCTGTATGTGTATGATTCTGGGGTCTAATTTAATTAACTTTAGTTAAATGCCCGTATGAAAATCACTTGTCAGTCATAATAAAAGGGAAGTCTGAATGAGGCCCTCTGGTTCCATGCAGATCTTTAAAGGGAAAGAAAAGTAAGGCGGGGAGGGTGTAGGTAAGTTTTAGGACAAGTAACGTAAAGTGTAAAATATATATCACCAGTTTAGAAGCGGGTTTTTGGGTTTGCTTTCTCCCCTGCTTTATTGGGGAGGACTTGCCATTGCTTTTATGAAGTGCTTGCTAGCCATGGATGCCAACTAACTTCTTCGATTGAAGGCCGGAGGATCATGTCTGGTTCCAGCAGCTGCTTGAGCAAGTCCTGGCATTCGGCCGAGATGCCCAGGTGAGTGGGGAAGGACACCCCCTTCTGCTGCTGCCACAGCATCTTGGGAATGTCGGTGTCATCAAAAGGTAGGCTGGCGCAGAGCATGACGTAGAGGACGACGCCCATGCTCCAGACATCACCCTTCTTGCTGTCGTGGGGGATGCCCTGCAGCACCTCGGGGGCGGCGTAGGCGGTGCTGCCGCAGAAGGTCTGGCTCAGCTCCCGGCGTGACTTGGGCAGTACCTTGGCGAAGCCAAAGTCAGTCAGCTTCAGGTTGCAGCCCTGCAACAAGGCGTTCTCACACTTAAGATCCCGGTGGGCCACGCCACGGCCATGGCAGTAGCGGATGGCCTCGACCATCTGACAGAAGAGGGCCTTTGTTCGGCTCTCGGGCAGTGGCCCCCCGTTCAGCACGCAGTCAAATACATCCCCTCCCTCAGCCAGCTCCATCACCAGGTAGATTTTCCCATCCGCAGACTCCAGCATCTCATACACCTGGATGATGTTCTTGTGGTCCAGGGTACGAACGATCTGGAGCTCCCGAGGCAGGAATCTCTGGATAAATTCTGAGGAGACAAGGGAGAGGAGGGTATCAGCCCCGAAGAGCCACTCCTCCCTCCCGTCTCCTGCCTTCCAACATTGCCTGCCCACCATGTCTGGGGCTGGTGCCTTCTAGTCACAATGTCATGTTCCCTTTAACAGTTTTAAACATCTGGATGCTTGGACTGTACGAAGAATAGTCATCTTATTTTTATAGTTAATACATTATTCAAAGGAACTACACGTCAACCTCAAGGACTGCTGGGAGCAGCCTGTGGGACCATGGATACCCAAGTGCTTGGGGATTGTTGGAGCCACTGAAGCTCCTATTCTGAGGCCTGATTTGACCCCAGTGTGGTGACCCAGCTCCCCTCACCCCTGCCTCCTGAACCCCAGTTCTTTCCATGAGCCCGGTCCTTTCCCATCTCTACCACCTCCACACCAGCCCCTGCCCTCTGGGAGCCCTGATCATGGCCTCAGCTGACCTCTGTTCCCCTGATGGGCTTGGGTTCTGCCTCTGAGGACCTGTCACCTCCTGCCACGTTAATCTTAGATTTTGGAGGGTGTGATGTTCCTGGACTCCCAGCATCCCTCTGTTCCCCACTGACCTACTCCAGAGCCACAGTGGCTCTTGCAGTGATCCTTCTGACTGGAGGAAGCTCCCACCCACCTCCGCCAGCCCGCCCTCCCGCCAGGGGCCCCAGCTCACCTTCTGGCCCTCCCATCTTGTCTATAATTTTAATTGCCACCTTTCTTTGGTGTTTTTTGGAAAATGCTTCTTTGACTTTGGAGTAGGTCCCTTCCCCAATGGTCTTGCCGAGCTGGTACCCATTGGAGAGCAGAAAGTCCTCCATGCTGTGTAGCGTCTCCTTCCCCTCACCCTCTCAGCTCATGCTGCCTCTGCGAGGCAGCTCTACTCCACCATAGCCCTTGGCCGGGTCCCTTTCTCCCCAAGGACTTCATCCACAGCAGCCCCTATCGCTAGAACATTCAGCCGCAGATGGTGGGGAGGGAGAGGGCCAGACATGTTTAAACTCCAGCCCAATTGTGATGTAAATGTGTGACCCTTGGCCAAAATGGATAGTGCCCCTATCTGCCCGCACCAGCACCAGCACCGGCTGAGCATCGCTGCGCCCCCACCCCCGAGCCGGGCGGTGAGTTGCAGCCCAGCCCGGCGTGGAGG